TTGCGTTCATGAAAATTTGCAGCACATTTTGTTTGTGTGTTTATGTTGCGTTAGAGAGGGAGTTAGTTTGATTAGGTTAGTTGTGGGTTGTGTGTAGCTTTAGTGTGGGTATATTTAGTTTATCACATTGTTATCTTTATTAAGTTTTTTTTTTTTTTTTTTTTTTTTTTTTTTTTTTAATTTTTTCTAGGCAGTATGATTTCAAATGTTTGCTGGCCGCCGTATTTATATATTTGTTTTGTGGGTTATTGGTTTAATTGACAATTTTTGTGTGGATTAGTGTGAAAATAAAATTTGTCTGCGATTTGTATTATTTTATAAAAAAAAAATAATTAATTAAAGGTGTTTAATGTTTATTAGTGGCAGGTTTATTAATTGCAAATGTTAATTATGCAGACAGCTATTTTTTGTTTGAGAAATCCGATACGCAATATTTTAAAGTTAATTGGAAATGTAATTAAATTTTGAGCTGTTGAAAATCACATTGTTGAAAATGGATGTAGTTTTGTCAAATATCGGCAGGTTTATTGGTACGAGTGGGACATCAAATAGATTTTGTCGTATTTATTTGTCATTTTTGTAAGTGATTATGAGTAAATGTTAACCGACATTGGTCCAACATATTTTTGAAAAAACTTGAACCCTACAGACCCTAGTATACGTTTTCTATTAGATTCAGTTCGAATCTGTCCTCAGGATTTCTACATCACATCAGGATTTTCTTAAGCTTGAAAAAAATACCGTTTTTTTGTCATATTTGTGACGTTATAACAAATATACCTTTATTTATAAAATCGGTTATATCATCTAAAAGTGTCAACTTTAAAAGAAAATGTTAACCTATGTATGTTATACATATGTATGGATCTTCATCCTTCTTCGAGATATACATATATATCATTTAAAAGTTTTAACCTTTTCAGATAACACTTTCAAAACTAAAGTTTTAAATTTTTAAATAATGTTTTCAACAAATTTTAAAATTTTTAGAAGAGATCCATGTGATTTATAGAAGTTAAATAAGATTTGCGTTACCAGCGATTTTAATTTTGAAGAAAACTATTTTTGGAATATTCAGATAATATTCTAATATTTTATACAAATCCTTTACAGAATATTATAGTCCAGATAATGGGAAACATATGTATAACCGAAGTTTTGGTAAAATTAAAAAAATCTCTCCAATAAAATCTTCACATTAAAGTCAAATTATAGAATATTGTGAAATTTGCATGAAATCCTAGTGAATTATTAACCCCCATAATTCATAAAAGCCTAATAAAGTTGTTGATGGTTTATTGTAGGAATTTTGTATACAAAATGTGCGTAATAAATCTAAAAGAAACAATTGATATCTTTATAAATCCGCGAGTAAGTGTTCAACGGATTTAAACGAAACTTCAGAGAAAAAATATAATACCTATAAGGACACATTTTTAATAGAATAGAATGTATTACAAATATACAATTCTACTAGAAATACTTATTTCTGATTGTTTAATTTGAAATAAGTAATGAGAAGAAGATAATAAATGATTCCAATTTTGATGAAATTTATATTTCGAACTGAAATTTTTTTGAGATGTCTTAACCTAAACTAAAAACAACTTCAAATTAGGAATTAGATATCTCTACTGGGATATCTTCCGTTGAAGTTTATGTGCCAAAATTTATATTTTAAATTACCAAACAAAATTGTATGGATATTCAAGAAACCTTTAAAAAAATTTCATTAGGAGTTCGACCTTTAATAGTAATAATAGACCTTTAATAATAATAAAAAAATTCATATTAAATTATTTATTTTTATTAAAAATATGTAATACAATTTTAAGAAAATTTTAATTTGATCAATTTTTGTTTAAGTTTTACCTTAATACAATATGTATTATTTTTATCTTAAAATTAACTGAAAAGTTCTTTTATAATATTTGCAAAAAAAAAAACAAAAACAAAGTTAAAACTTTAAAATTTCGTCACCCACTATTAACACTAAGTAGATAAAGAATTCGAGGAATACATGTATTTAATCACGTATACAATAATTTTACTTTTTGTTGTTATAATTTCAAATACAACTTTTAAATAACTTATGGTAGTTATTGCCACAAATTATAAAAATAATAGAGTCCAACGCCAATTAAATCACAGAATATATTAAACATCATTTAAATATTTGAAAATACAAAAATCAATGAATTTTTGTTAGTGTTTCAAATTAAAATTCATTTTGCAATTGCCAATTATTTTTTTGTTAACGATTTAAGGTAAAGAATATTAATTTTTGGATTTGAAAGCATATATTTTATAAGTTTTCTAACGAAAGTGATCTAACTTTATATAGCTTATACTCAAAATAATTTGTAGGTGATAATAAAAATGTTTATTGTTTAAAGATTTATTGAGTTCAGAAAAGAAATTGATGGGAATTTAAAAGAATTTGTTGCTGTCATTATAAAAGTCGACAGTTTTTTTTAATCATAATAATTACTAATTAGATTATTATTATTTTTTAAATGCTTAAGTAATTGATTATTATTTCAAGGAATCTAAAAATAATGGGGAATACTAGAACTTATTGACAAATAATCAGAAGTAATCAAGTAATACGATTTTATTAAAGGATTACTCTTGATCTCTATTACTTTGATTACTCTATTTAAATATTTTGCATACAATTTTATCAAATTATTATTTTATTTATTTTTTTTTTTGAAATGCTATACATAATATTTTAAAGTTAATTGAAAATGCAATTTAATTATTTTGAGCTGTTGAAAATCACATTGCTGAAAATGTATGATAGACTACCATTTATATAGCTTTTGACAAATATCGGCACATTTTTCAACGAGGTTTATTAGTACGAGTGTGGTATTTATTGTCATTTTCGCAATTGAGGAATGGTTAATCGACATTGGTCCCACAAAATGTTTAGAAAAGTCCAAACCCATAGGTCTAAGTATATATTTTCTAATGGATTCAGCCTCAGGATTTTTACATCACATCAGGTTTACGAGATAACGTTTCCTAAACTTTGAAAAAAACCGTTATTGGCCATATTTGTGATGTTATAATCTATAAATACTCGGGAATGCTCGAAATTATTAACAAGTAATTAAAAGTAATCGAATAATATGACTACTTTAAAAGATTACTTTTGATTCTACCTAAATAAATTGCATAAAATTTTCACAAAATCAAAATTTCAAATAATAAAAAATAATAAAAAAAATACTCCCGAGATACTTTGTAACTCCTATTTTTACTAAATATGTAATCAGAAATTGTGTACAACCATTTTGATATAGGAACTTAAGAATATATAGATTAAATATGACCAAAATTCTATATTGTGGAGCTTTTTTAATAATTTGTTTTCTCTTTAGCTCTAAAATTGATTTAAATTTGTTTTTAAATTAGAAAATCAATAGAATTTATTTTCCCATGTATTATTTTCTAGATGGTTAAGAATCTGATTTCAAAATCTGCCCTGTCATATTAGGTTTTCCTCATGTCTTCGATAATAAAGTTTTAAAAGCCACATTTTTTGTCATTTTTGCTAAATCACCTTTGTTTTTATTTTTCCATCTGAAGGTTCGATTTAATAGATTCAAAATAAAGTTTTAACCTCTGTTATAACTGGTTCCTTTTTTGAGTTATCTTAACCTAAAGTTTGAATCAACTATAAATTAAAAATATTAAATTTTTCGCCTTTAATTTACGGCAAATTGTTTGCAAACATATTTTTTGAATTCTTTTTTATTTGCTGATATCGTCCGTTTTAATTTTTGTCGTAAATAAGGTGACAAAACAATTGTTTGCTGTTTAAAACTTTAAATTAAGTTATCTCTAAGAAGGAATATGATATAGCCGATGTTGAACCATTGTTTTCAAAGGCAATATATCGCACTTTAAGACGCCGTAAAAAGTCATTACAAATAAAGGGGACTTCTCGCTGGTATTTTGTATCAAATATAGAGAAAAACCGGACTTTTAAACTATGACCCTGAGGTTAGATTTAGTTCAATATTTTGGAAAAGTTTAAGTGGATTTTTTCGATTTTTTATTAGAATTATAAAATTTTTTAGATTGTTCCTAAGAATTTACGTTCTTTTTAGCCAACCACGGAAAACAGTAAACTACAATTTTCTTTTCAATAAATGTTTTCCCAATTTTTACCAGCGCAAATCCATGCGCTAACACAGTCAAACTGTGACTGAAAACGCCATATAATCAAGGGATTTGCTAAACCCCGCCAGTTGGAAAATATCAGCAGAGAAAAAAAGAAAGTTTTTCCAACTACTTAACGTAAAAAAAAAATTAGAAGAAAAATGAATTTAGCGCCAAAAATTCATAACGACAGCGAAATACAATAAGAAATGTGATGCGAGGAAAAAAAATCACCCTCAAACCCAAACTCCAATAAGAAACCTTGAACTACACGAAACGCTACTAAAAATCTATAATTTCCTAAACTTAAACTTGAAATATTTAAGGGTGAGTCATCGAAAAATAACAACTAACACCCCTAAAATGCTGCTAGAAAAGGTATTGAAAACCCAAACGAACTAGAACTTAACAAACCAATAAGAAAAGTAGAGTGAGTTAAGAACCCACAGTGCGTACCACAGGCAGAGAAAATTTTCCCACTAAAACAACAACAGCTAACACATTAATAAAAAAACCCGTACTAAAAGAGTTTGAGTGAGTGAGAGAGAGAGAGCGAGCTTTGTTTGTTTATTTTTTTGTTTACTTTTCTTACAGCAAATATGTTTGTACGTGTGCCGGTTTGTACGTTAGTATATGCCAAACAAGTTCGTTTTAAAAGACCGGCGCAATACACATGTTTGAAGGGAAACAGTCAACAACTGTGAGCATTTGCTGCTGCCGTCGTTTCTTCATACCTTCAGACATGTAATAATTTCCCATTCAATCCCATTTGAAATGTTTACGTTACGCTAGTTGTGTGTGGTGTGCGCCTGTTTCTGTATGAAGAACTTTTGCGTCGACTTCGCTGCTACAACAATCTCATCATGTTGAAAATGTTTACATTCAATATTTTTACTTCATTCAATATTTTTCGTGTGTGAAATTTTTAGTATGAATTTCGCTTTCTGCTGAACAGGTTGTGTTGAATGTGAGAGTTCGGAACACGTTACAAAAAAAATAAAAGAAACAAAAACAAAAAAAGTGTATTTTTTTTTGTTCTACAACACTACTCCTCTTGAAGTGAAGTGCAAAAAATACATAATAAGAAAAGAACAAGAATTTCCGACTAGAAAATTATAGAAATTTTTATAGTAAAGAAAACAACAACTACAAAAAAAAAACATAATAAATCAACAATTACTGTTTTTTTATACAGTTTTCTAATAAAAATACAAGTTCTTAAAGAAAAAAATCACAAGTGTTTTTAACTTTAACTAAAACAACAACAAAAATTGTTTTCATTTAAAGAAAATTACAAAAACAATTTTACTTTTTTTATAATCTAAAATAAAAACAAACTTTTATAAATTACTAAAATTTTCATAACATAAACAAATTGTGCAAAAATTTTAAACAAATTCTAAAGAAAAAGAAGAAGAAATAATTCAAAAACAAACAAAATAATTGAACAAGTTTAATTTTGTCTTCTCTAGCAAAAAGCAAGAAGCAGAATTATTAATAATACAAAAAAAAAAAAAACAACGTCTACAAAAACAATTATACAAACAACAGAATAGAATACAACAGCAAACACAAATACACTCAAAATAACTGTAAATTTATGACAGAGACTGAGCAAAAGCAATAATAATCATACCAACAACAACAACAACAACACCAGCAACAAACACATTAAATAACAGCAAAGTAAATAATTGAGAAATAAATGTGAAAAAAAAAGAAAATTTTAAAATTGTTTTTGGATGCAGTCATTGAGAACAAGAATTGAAAAATATTAAAGAAAATCGAATGAGTATAAAATTTATAGTTTTTTTGTTGTTAAAATTTATTAAAAAATATCATCTTTTTTTATTAAAACTTTATAAACAGGCATAAGAAAAAATTTATTAAATCTATTGCTGAAAATTTGTTTTACAATTAAGTGCCGTGTAATAGGTAGAGGATATTGTAAAATATTTTAATTGTTTTTTTTTTTTTTCATTTACTTTTTTGACAGTGTTCTTTTTTTAATTAGGGAAACATTTTGAAATTTTTTAGCAACATCAAGTTTATCAATGGTTAACATTTAGTTTTTTATAAAAAATGTGAATTTATAAAAGGAAATCTTGAAAAGTGCAAAATTTTCTTGTTTTCTATTTATAAATTTTTCCAAATTTATTGGATTCTGTAACTTGAGAATATATATGAAATTTTCTTTGTTTTTTAAGTATTTTTAAAACAGTATTTTAAACTAAATTTCGCTGGCAGATAGGTAGTTACTGAATCAGCTGGTGAATCTATATTTTCTATAACCTAGAACACTAGAAAACTAAGACCAAAGTTCAAGTTTACTTTTCTAAAGAATTTGAGCTGTTCTACAATTCGAATCCAAACTTAGATTCTGATATCTCTAAACACCTCAGGTTTTCGATAAATTTTAGACAAAAATTTCAAAAACAAAACGATTTTTACTATATTCATATATTATTTATACAATTTTTAACTCCTGATTTAGTATCATGGACAGAAAATTTGTTTTTTAGAATTTTTATGGAATTTACTTTGTTTTAAAATTAATTTCGCTCCCCGGTAGTTACTGAATCAGCTGGAGAATCTATATTTTTTATAAAATAAAACACTAGAAAACTTAGGCTTTACATTTTTAAAGAATTTTGAGCTGTTTCATATTCGAATCCAAAATCAGAATCTGATATCTCAGAACACCTCAGGTTTTTAATAAATTTTAGCCTAAAATTTGAAAAACAAAGCAATTTTTGCTATAATTGAGTCGTTATTTCACAATTATTTATAAAAATTTTTGTGTCTTCTAAAGGTGCTCTCTATTGGTTTCAAAATAAAAGTTTAACCTATGTTGTATCTAATCCTAATCTTAAGTTTGCTATATATAATTAAAAGTATTTAAATAGTTTAGATATCTCTTCCATTTGCTGAGATATTTCCCCCCTGAAGTTTTTGCCTTAAAAGAAGTTTTAATATGATAATTTTGAATTCACAGTTATAGTCAAACTTTAAATTAAGATAACTTTAAGTTAAAACAAGTTATAGCAGAGATTAAAACCTTATTTTGAAGTCAGTAGTTAGGACTTGAAGATATAATAATAAATTTTATAATTAAAAGTGAATTTGTGCTCAAATATGGACTAAAACTCGGGGTTTTCAAAGTTTATAGGTACTTATATCTACTTTAATTGTCTTGAAAATCTTATTGGAAGTAAAAGATTCTGAGCTAAATATCAGTTTTAGTGTTTCGTTTCGTTCTTTTAGAAAAGAATACTATAGTTTGAGTGTTTTTAATTTTGTCGATCTATGCAATCTGTTTCATATCCCTAGAACTTTAATTTTGTTCTAAAATGTTAATGAGTCAATTTTATTACGTTTTTCAATATTTTTTTTTTATGAATTCTTTCATAAGTACTTGGAAATTTTGACAAATCATGTAAAATAAGAAATGTTTTAAAATTCTAATGAAATCTATTCTCATTTCTCTCTGATGAATCAAAAAGTTCTTATTTTTAAAGAAATTAAGTAAAAATTTATAAATTATTCATCTAGAACTTTTAATTTTGTATAATTTTTATTAAATACCTAACTAGTCCTATATTTTTAATTAAAAATAAATAATTTAGTAAAAGATATCGAAATTTAATTTTATAACATATTTTGAACATTGAGAAATTACAAAAATATTTATAAAAGTTACAATAATAAGTTGATTTCTGATTTAGAAATGTTTCTAAATTATAAAATAAATTTTAAAATATGTAGATTTCATTTTCAAAATTCTTTATTATTTTCTATAGAAATTTAAACAATTTTGTTTTAAAACTTTTCATAATAGAAATTTTAGATAAAATTTAAAGAAATTTCAATTGAAAAACAATGAATTTCGAAATTTTCAAAGTTTTTGTCTACAAACATTAAAGATTTAAAATTGCTTTCATAAAAAAGTTTTTAGTTTTTAATTTTCTAAAATTTTTTTTTAATAAAAATTATAATTTTGATAATATTTAAATGTTATGGAAATAAATTTTATAAAAATGCCTTAAACTTCTGTTTATATTTCTTTTAAAAACTAAATTGTAAAAAAAAGTTTTCAATTTCAAAGATTTTGAAACAAAATTTTCAAAATGTTGATAATTTTTTAAAGAAACTATAAACTATTAAATATAAAACATTCTTCTGGATTTGCCTAGAAATCTCAATAGTTTATTTAGATTATTGTAAAAATTGAAAAGATTTTATCAAAAAAATTTATTAATTTTGAAAGATTTCGGAATTTAACTTTTTTCCCAGTAAATTAGGGAAATTTTTGAATTTATTTTTGATTCCTTTAAATAGATTTTTAAAAACAAAAGATTCCAATATTTTATAGATTTACCAAAGAACTTTCTTAATCGCCCAGGCTACCAAGTGTTTCTTTTGTTTATAATTTAGTTATTTAAAGTTAATTTTTTAAAACTTTTTAAATAGTTTTTGAAAAAAGAAAAGACAAAAGTATCCAAAAACAATTTTACAATAATTTTCAATTAAATTACCTAATACTAATTTTTAAAATTAATATTTTCTTCTATTTTCTTTGAAAAACCAGATATCAAGACTATTATAACTGAAACTCCAACAAAAATATAAATTTTTTACAAAAAAAGAAAAAAAAAAAAAAAAACGAAAATTAAACTATTGAAATATAAAAATTAACGGATTAAACAAAAAAAAAACGAAAAACCAACAATAATAACATTTAAAAAAATAAGAAATTTTATTAAAAGTTTTTGTTAAAAAAACTAAATTTCGAACATTTATCAACTGAAAACTAAAATTTTTTTACTTTGAAGTAAAAACCATTTAACAAATGTGCGAAAACATAATTTTTGCAAATACGAATTAAAAAAAACTGTTAAAAATTCATCTAAATAAACAAAAAAAAAAAAAAAAAAAATTAAAAATCTTTTTAAATACAACAGCAACAAAATAGAAAACTATAGCTCAATGTATAAAGCTAATAGAGTGAAACTAAAATTTTCTACAATTTATAACAAAAGCAAATGAAATTTTCTTAATTTTCTATAAAAAAACCAAAACGAAAATGTAAAATGAAACATTTTTTTCCTTAAAACAACAATAAAAACTTGAAATTTCAATAACTTAAAGTTGAAATTAAAAAAAATACAAAAAAGCTTAACAATTTCCAAACAACAAAAAGAAAATGTTTTAAATTTAAAGGATTGAAAAATAAATTCCTAAATAAAAAGCTCTTAAAAAAAATTTTATTAAAAATTTCCCAAAAAACGGCTGGAAATTTGAATATATTTTAAAGCCAAGAAAAACCAAACTATTAAATGCTACTTATGGCGCCACGTCGCAATCATAATACTACAACAATTGTCAATCAAACACAGACTAACCAACAACTTCAACAACAGCAGCAACAATTGCAAAGCAATACTTTAGCAACATTTGTTACTAATTCCTCCAATAACAATCATCAGTTTTTCACCATAACGGATTCAGAAACAAATAGTTCGAATAATAGCAACAGCTTCACTATGTCGCCCATGCAAACGACTATCAATAGCAATAGTAACAACAACAATAACAATAACACTTTAACTCCGAATCATAATAAAACATCCGGAGGAGATCAATTTGTGCGTTGTTGTTATCCCAATGGTGATTGTTTCAAAACGGACTTGATTAATTTGGACGATTTAACGGAATGCATTAAGGTTATATGTAACAATGAGAACTGTAATGTGGGTCAATATATGCATCGAGAATGTTTCGAGTCTTGGGAACAAACCATACTTCAAACTCTCAAGACAATGGGGGGACGGGCACGCTCTTGGTCGGATCGTCAAAAGGCTCAGAATTTATGGACTAAGAAGGGCTATGATTTGGTATATAAAGTGTGCGGTTGTAAATGCAGCCGAGGACATTTACGCAAAGATTTAGAATGGGTAGCCCCCAAAGCGGGACAATTTGTAAATGGTCAAAGAATCATGAATGGCAGTAACAATGCCACCACCAACAATCAGGAAGATGAGGATAAAAAGAAAAAGAAAAACAAACGCAATCGTCAGCAACAGCAGCAGCAGCAACAACAACAACAGCAGCAGCAGAATACTAAAGCTCATACTCCTTTGCAGGCAACAAATGGTCATGCAAATGGTCAAAATGTTCAGCAAATGAATGGCTCTAGCAATTCCACACCAGAACCTTTGCAAATTAGCAAAACTCTTGAAACTACCAACAACAACAGCAACTCTAACAATCATAATAATGTGGGTGTTATAGGCTCGGGTCTACACCAAAATGGTTCTTCTCAGCAAATATCACAAAATCTTAATCAAAATGCTACAGTAGCAGAATTACCACCCAATGTGGTTACTTCTCTCAATAACCTATTAAATGGTCAAAATAATATTTTGGGTTTGGATTTACGCCCACGCACTAATAGCATTTCTTCGGGTTCCAATCATAGTGGCTCTACTTCTCCCTCAGCCATTTCTTTCTCCTCTGGTGATCTATCTACTGCTCAAACTCCTTTAAATAACACTTTACAAAGTCTCAATCTAAATGGTTTCTATCATGCTAATCAAAATGGTTTAACTGGAATACAGCAACAGCAGCAACAACAATTGCCTGCTCTACAATTGCACGCAAATCTTTTGCAACAATCTTCTGTTAATGCAGTTTCTTTGACTAAAAACATTTTAAATGGTCTACAATCGTCTGGTTTGTTGTGCAATACTAGCAACAACAACAACAACAATACTACTACTGCTACTACTACTACAGCAACAACTAATGGCAATAATCTCAATAGTAATGCAATAATTACAAATGCTTCAGCAGCTTTATTAATTAAGCAACAACAACAGCAACAGCAGCAACAACAACAACAGCAATGTGTTAATCTTTTATCAAACGGTAATGGTGTTGTTGCCTTAAAACAACATCCATTAACTGCATTCGAACAGCAACAATTATTGTTACAGCAAAAAGTTAAAGAAGTTGAAATCTATTCAGAGAGAGTACGGTAAGTGTTTTCCATTTTTTTTTTTTAGTTTTTAACAATTTTAAATAATTTTTTTAAGTTTAAATATAATTTAATTAAAACCCTCATTTTCACTGAAGCGTTGTTGATTTGTCATTCTTATGCAAATTAAATGCGTTTCCACTTCCTTTTTTTACGAAAAGTTTTAAATTTATTTAGATAACTAAAAAAATAAATAAAACATTTTTATAACAAATGCATTTAATTTTGAAAATTATAAAAAAAAACAAAATAATTTATTTTAAATAACAAAAGCTAAAGTCTAAGCTTAAATTAAAAAAAAAATATTTTAATTTAAATGTTTTTGTTATTTTATTATAATTTAGAATTTTTAATCAGTATATATATTTTTAAATAATATTAAAACGTTAAGGTTTTTGTTTAATTTTTGACAACAATAACAAACACAGCAGCTGTTTTATAATTTTGCAAATATTAATAACTAAAAAAAAGCCCAATTTCTCAAGGCTGTTTATGACATAAAATTACAATAAAATATACAGATTTTTTTTTTTAAATGTAATAACTGGTTTTATATAAAAAAACTTTTTAAATAAATTTAGCTTTTAATTTTTGCTTCTTTATTTCTTAAAAAAAATATTTCACTTAATAAAAATATTTCAAAAATGAAAACAATAACACATATGCTGTTTATCAATAAACATTTCATTTAATGAAATCATCAAAATATTTATTTATTTTAAAAAATATTAATTTTAAATTCATAATTTATGCAAAAATTGAAAAAAAAACACTTAAAAATAAACTCTTGGGCTCTTAAAAAAAAAACGAAAAACAATTAAGCCCAAGAAAATGGAAATTACTCTAGACACACAGTTTTCTGTTAGCTCATTTTATATGCAAATTAAAAAAAAAAAAAAAACTCAAAAAACATTTAACGTTTATAGTAGGAGGTGTTACAGACACATATTCTTATCTTATTCATACAGGTCCCTGTCTTTGACGACAGTATTTTAAAACTTCAAAAAAAAAAAAAACGTAAATTGTTAAGGAACATTAAATCTAACCTTGACATTGAAAACACATTTTGTTGTTAGCTAAGGAAATTATTCGAAAAAAAAAAAAATAGCACAAGCACACGAGTATTTCTGTTTTTTTAATAAAATTTTTAATGCAACAAATATAAATAAATAACGTCATCAACTCACATTAAATGAAAAAAAAGTAAATAAACAAAAATTTTCAAAAAATATTAAAACAGCTACATACCAGCGGATTTTGCAAATACCCTATATGTCAATAAGGGATTTTTAAACATTGGGTAATGATGAACGGTGTCTTCGCTGGGTTGCAGTAGCACTCTACTCACCACAGCCTATCGCCGCGGGGGTAGGTTCTCCGGAGATTGTTAGGCCTCTTACCGAATACGCTGGGCAGGGTTTTTTTTTATCGAACATTGGGACATTGAACGATGTAGTTCTGCATATGATGTACTTGCAGAACACCAAGTAGCTCAATATGGAAATAGACAGACCGTTTGGAAGCTTAGGGATCTAAATATCCTGAACGAACTGGACTGTACTGTCAAAAAGATACTCTTCGAAATAATGAGTAGAAATCTTTTGACAGGTATGAGGACTGGTAGCCGCCCAATCGAGGAAAAACAAACCGTACCAGTAGTGGGAAGGGTAGTTCTTAGTATGTGCTTGTCATGAGCCCCTCTGGCATGGGTACCTGCATGGGTCATTACACATAAGGCTTTGCATCGCATCAAGATGAAACATTCATAAAAAAACACAACTTTGAAAATTTCGAAACTTATTGAAAAACTTGACATTTTCTTAAGGGGTTTCCAAATTTTATGAATAATTTCGATATATTTTCAATATTTTATTAGTTTACAATTAAATTTTATGGAAAAATGTTGAATTTTTAAAGTTCGAAAATTTTCGAACAAAATTCGAACTTTTTTAAATTAATCAAAAATGGATTATTTTTATATTGGATGTTATTTATAACAATATAAAATTTTTTTCATACAAAAAATTTTAAGGGGAAAATAAAAATTCTTTACAAAATCAAAAATTTTGAAATTTCAAAATCAATTTTTTTGGAAATCTTTATATATTCTTAAGGGTTTTTTAAAATTTTATGATTAATTTCGATATATTTTTAATATTTTATTAGTTTACAATTAAATTTGGGTGAAAAGTTTAAGTTTTGGAATGTTCGAAAATTTTCGAACAAAATTCGAACTTAGTAAAATTATTAAAAAATTGTTTATTTTTATATTAGTTATCATTTATAACAATTTAAAATTGTTTTCATACAAAAAATTTTAAGCAGAAAATAAAAATTCTTTACAAAATCAAAAATTTTACATTTTCTTAAGGGTTTTTCAAAATTTTATGATTAATTTTGATATATTTTTAATATTTTATTAGTTTACAATTAAATTTTATGGAAAAATATTGAATTTTAAAAGTTCGAAAATTTTCGAACAAAATTCGAACTTCTTTAAATCAATCAAAAATAGATTATTTTTATATTAGTTATCTTTTATAACAATTTAAAATTGTTTTCATACAAAAAATTTTAAGCAGAAAATAAAAATTCTTTACAAAATCAAAAATTATGAAATTTCAAAATCAAATTTTTTGAAAAATTTTACATTTTCTTAAGGGTTTTTCAAAATTTTATGATTAATTTCGATATATTTTTAATATTTTATTAGTTTACAATTAAATTTGGGTGAAAAGTTTAAGTTTTGGAATGTTCGAAAATTTTCGAACAAAATTCGAACTTAGTAAAATTATTAAAAAATGGTTTATTTTTATATTAGTTATCATTTATAACAATTTAAAATAGTTTTAATGCAAAAAATTTAAAGCCGAAAATAAAAATTCTTTAAAATATCACAAGTTTTGAAATTTCAAAATCAAACTTTTTGAAAAACTTTACATTTTCTTAAGGGGTTTTCAAAATTTTATGATTAATTTCGATATATTTTTAATATTTTATTAGTTTACAATTAAATTTGAATGAAAAGTACTAGTTTTGAAATGTTCGAAAATTTTCGAACAAAATTCGAACTTAGTAAAATTATTCAAAAATGGGTTCTTTTTATATTACTTATCATTTATAACTATTTAAATTGATTTTATACAAAAAATTTTAAGGGGAAAATAACATTTTTTTAAAAAATCACAAATTTTGAAATTTAAAAAACAAATTTTGTGAAAAACTTAACATTTTCTTAAGGGGTTTCAAATTTTTTTGATTAATTTAAAAATATTTTTAATATTTTATTAGTTTACAATTAAATTTGAATGAAAAGTAGCAGTTTTGGAATGTTCGAAATTTTTCGAACAAAATTCGAACTTGACAAAATGTTACAAAAGTGAAATATTTTTATAACAAAATTCATTTCAAACTAATTTTAATTTTAAAATATTTAAGTTTGAAAGTAAATTTTCAAAAATTTTCCAAAATTTAAATCTTTTCGAAAGTATAATTTGTTTAATTTCGAGTAAAACCCTTAATTTTACAATTTGGAGAAAAAATTTTTTAAAAGGCTTAAAGAATTATTTCAGGATTTTATGATGTGAAGAATAAAAATTGGTTCGAAAATGTTCGACTTGGAAAGTAGGGTATTAAAACCCAACACGAAAAAAAATTGTGTAAATTGTGTAAAAAAAAGTATCTATCTGCAAATTATTTAAATTGTAGTATAAAACTCATGCATATAAAACTCAAATTGATAATGAATTTTTATTTTTTTATTTATTTAATTGTATTTTTGCTACGATTTAAATTATAAAAAAATGAAAGTGAAAGCATTTTTTTTTCATTTTCATTATTTGCTGTAAAGACTTTTAAATATACAAAAAGCAGATAAGAAAAAATGCGTCATGGCAAGACTACAAAGTAAGAAGCAAGAAAAAAAAACAACAACAATATTTATATACAATAAATTGCATTAACAATCAAATTATAAAAAAAAGACAACAGCAATAATAACAACAACAACACAATTTATTAATAGCTTTTAAAAGATTTATATACATTTTCAATTTCAATATAGACAGAATATTAAAAAAATGAAATATTTAAAAAAAAATTATCTATAGAAAAATGCCAGACATTTTGGAAAAAAAAACTTGTTGAGAATTTTTAATTAGAAAAAAAATTATTAATGGAAATTAAGCAACAAATGTTGCAAATAAATTTTATTTTATTGTAATATTGATTAATCATTTTTTTTTTAAATTTTAAGGAGTTTTCTTTTGCTGTATTTTATTTATTTTTCATTTTACTTTTTTGTAATTTTTTTTGCTGTTAAAGCAATATTTACAAAACAATTTAAACACATACATATGTTTTTGTTGTTGTTTTTTACTTTTGGTGGTAATAATAAACAATAACAACAACCAAGTAATGACCTTGAACATGAAAATAACAACAAAATGTAGATTTTTTTTAACAAAATATACAATAAATACCTATTATCGCTTTATTTTTTTGCTGATTTTTTTTTTTTGCAAAATCAACAAAGAATTGTACTTAATTTTATTTATACTTTACTTTTTTTATCGTTTAATTTTTGTTATTGTTATTTACAATTACGTTATTTTTTGTTTTTATTTTAATTTTTACTTTTTTTATTTAGTAATGAGTTTCGCAATTGTTTTATAAGGGTTTTGACAATATTTTATTTGTTGCATTTAAAGTCTGCCAAATCTTATTACAAATTTGCTAATAATCGCGAATATTCCCAGAATTTTGTTTAACATTTTTAAAAATTTGCATATTTTTAGGCTTGCTAAACTTTTTGATTTTGTTTTCCAGTATTTTCATTAACTTTGTGAAGTATTAGCATACTTTTAGGCATGTTGCATTTAAATGTTTATTTTTTCAAGAATATTCTCAGAATTTGTAAGAAAGTTGGAATTGTTGGGTCCTGCTGTGTTAGATAAGGTTTAGAAGGATTAGTTACATTCTATAGTAATGACATAAGGTCT